CGCTCACAATATTACACCAAGCTTATTATTGATGATAATTTCCTTAATCAGAAGAAACTGTTTGGCATTGTCGGTAAGTCATTACATCGGAGTCCTGCACCGTAGTATCCGCCATCTTGCTCTTCTGTGGCAGATCTTGCGAATAGATTCATTAGCTTTTTTGGTGAGAAGATCAATACTATTCGACATGAACTGCAATCAAACCCTATGCAGGAAACTCATTTATTTCATGAAGTCACGGTAACGACAACAAGACTCCATCGTTTGAGCTGTCCTTCATATTCGACATTACTTCAGAGCGTGCATTCTTTGGCATTAAAGTCTTGTGAACTTGACCCTGTTCCCTCTAGAATACTCCTTGGTTGTCTTATCTCCTTTGCCCTGTGATCTGGAATATTGTTAATTTTTCATTGGAGACCTCTGTTATGCCCACTGAACTTAAACAAGCTGTAATTCGTCCTTTGTTAAAAAAAGCCGAGTTTAGGTCATCAAGAATTTAAGAACTTTCGACCGATTTCTAACCTCACCTTTTTGTTCAAAGTTATCGAGAAAGTAGTGGCTTTGCAGCTAGTTGACTACATTGACAACAATGGTCTGTATGAAGTTTTTCAATCTGCCTACCGCGCTAACCATAGCACCGAAACGGCTCTTCTCAGGGTCTACAATGACATTGCTATATCCATTGACAATCAGAAATCTGTTGTTTTGGTTCTATTGGATCTGCCAGCTGCCTCTGACACAGTTGATCATTCTCTTCTCCTTTCAAGACTATCTGCCCGTTTTGGCATTTGTGACCAGGCTCTGGACTGGTTTCATTCATATCTATCTTATCGCACACAGTGTGTCAGAATCCAAGATGTCTCTTCTGATGTGCATGCCTTACCTTACAGAGTACGTCAGGGTTCTGTATTAGGCCCCTTGCTGTATTCTTTGTACCCCTCCCCCTTAGGTGATATTGCAAGATCTCAAGTTCTGTCTTATCACTTTTATGCAGATGATACACAGCTATATATATCTTTTGAAACGTCATCGCCTGAGGGCTTGTCGACATGTAAATCTGCTCTTGAAGATTGCGTTAAAGATATTGACCTTTGGATGCTAGAAAACAAGCTAAAACTGAACAGTGGGAAGACTGAAATTATAGTTTTTTCATCCTCCTATCGCCCACGTCCTGCGTTCGAAAACCTGGTGATTGTCTCGGACACTGTTGATTGTTCAACGACTGCTAAAAATATCGGAGTTATTTTTAATAACTCTCTATCGATGGTACCGCACGTTACTGCTGTTTGCAAGTCTTCTTTTTTTCATCTACACAATATTTTTAAGATTCACAAGTTTCTTTCTCACGATACATGCAAAACTCTAATTCGTGCCTTTGTTACGTACTGCAAGGATCGACTATTGTAACTCACTGCTCTACGGTCAGCCTAAATGTACCTTGAAACGCTTACAAAGTGTCCTAAATAGTGCTGCTAGGCTTATTCACCTTACCAGTAGATATGAATATATTACGCCGTTGCTTATTCAACTTCATTGGCTTCCTATTGAACAAAGGATAACTTTCAAAATTGCGGTGATCGCATTTAAGGCACTTCATGGTGCTGTACCTAGCTATATCACTGATCTCATTAAGCCTTATACACCTGGTAGACTTCCTAGATCCTCGAATCAATTTTTACTTTCTACACCTAAATTTAATCTTAAAACTTATGGTGGCCGGTCTTGTACTATTGCTGCACCCTCTGTTTGGAATGCATTTTCATTCAAACTTAGATCTTGTAATTCCCTTTCTTCTTTTAAATCTAAGTTTAAGTCTCGGTTTTCTAAAGTTTATTATGATGTTGTTGTATAGAATGATTATGTTTTTATAATAATAATAATAATAATAATAATAATAATAATAATAATATTTATTGATTTGTATTGCGCAACTCAATCCAGAGAAAAAAATTTTCATCTGCACATTACATTGACTCAACAAAATCTTAAAATCCTAAACATATTCCAATTAACAAAAAGTCTAATTTTGCTTTGGTACAGCTAATACTGCTATCCTTTGGAAAAAAACGTAAATGATTTACGTTAAGTAAATTAAAATCTGACGAGTGTGACCTCTCCTAATCTAAATAGCAAGACCACATCATTAGCCCTAAGACTGATTTTAAAAAAATTAGGAAAAAGTTTTGACTCATAAGTTCTTGAAAACTCCCACACAGGCTTTGAATCCGTTTATTTAATTCTTACTGAGAGTTTTACAAAAGATATCTTATCAGGTAGCTCCTGAAAAATCTTGGAAACAAGGCATGATCAATGCAAGTTTAAATTAATCGAATAAAGGTGGTAAGTTTCTAAAGAAACTGTGGTGCTACGTCGGTGGGGGTAACAAGATCATTTGGTTTTATCAATTGAGTCGATAATGTAAATTGGCCACCGTTAAGAGTTTAAATCTGACGTTTCAAGCGTTAGCCCTTCGTCAGTACGAATGACGAAGGGTTAACGCCCGAAACGTCAGCTTTTAAACTCTTTACCGTGGCCAGTTTTGACTTATAAGTTTACATAATCAACTCAGTTGATAAAACCAAATTAATCTAAATTTATCGGTCTGGTAGGCCCGTTATAGTTGAAAAGTATTTTATCGAGAACAAGGTATTAACCTAAAAGGTGGCTTTATTTTAAACCTTGCCATCAAAAGTAAATTGGAAATTTTTTGACATGTTTGCGGCTAAACTCAAATATGAACCATTAAAGTTTCCTAAAAGGGAATATTGTCATTCATCCAGGTTCAATTAAAGTGAGGAATTTTAAAATATTTTTCTGAAATTTTGGTCTTAATTTTTAACTGACATTTCGACTGAAACCATCAGTCTTCATCAGTGTAGTTTGTCACGTGGCAGATCACTATCACGTGACAAACGTCGGGGAACGGAGACGAGGGCCCGGTCCCAAGTGTGAGAAAGAGAAAACCGGAGCCGCCCCCTTTCTGTTCAGGGTTTGGTCCTCCACCCTTTCCCATATCGCTTCTTTTATCCCCCTCCTTCGCCAATCTCGTTCTTTATCTAGGATCTTGACTCCCTTCAAATCCAACACGTGTCTTTAGAGGAAAGTTTTACACACAAGTACACGGCTGTGCCATGGGGTCCCCCGTATCCCCCATCGTAGCGAACTTCTGTATGGAGACCTGCGAACAGCAGGCGTTACACACCTACACCGGCACGCCCCCTAGACTGTGGCTCCGTTACGAAGACGACACATTTGTGGTGCTACCTCAGAAAGAGATTTACCCTTTTTTCGAGCATATTAACAGCGTCAAACCCCCCCCCCCCCTATTTGGTTTACTCAGGAGTCGGGTCATGATAATGCTATTGCTTTCCTGGATTGCCATGTTCATGTGAATAGCGATGGAAGTCTGGCAACAAAAGTGTATGGGAAACCTACCCACACTGGTCATTATCTACAATTTGACTCCCACCATCCCTTAATACATAAGATCGAGGTTTTCCGGAAACTTAGTCACAGGGCGGAACAGGTGATCAGTTATCCTGACATCTTGACAAATGAGAAAAACCACATCAAGAAGTCTTCGAAAATGCAGATATCCTGACTGGGTGTTCAGCGGAAACCAAAAAGATCACGATGAACGGGGGTGTGGCACTGAAAACATCAAGAAGGGGACACAAGGCCTGGGTAACCATTCCTTACATACGAGGCCTATCTGAGAATATTAAGAACATTCTCAAAGAGCACGGTGTAACAGCGTTTTACAAACCCCAGAACACTCTAAGACAACAGTTGGTCAAGGCTGAAGACAAACAGCCGTTTGAGAAGCGCTCCAACCTGGTATATGGTGTTACCTGTGTAGGGAAGGGCTGCACTGAAACCTATGTGGGAGAGACTCTTCAGTCCATCAGAGCCAGGCTAAAGCAACATCAACGGCTGAACTACAATCCTGCTCAAAATTCAGCAGTTTATTGTCACCTGAAGGACACGGGACACGTGTTGGTTTCGAAGGGAGTCAAGATCCCAGATAAAGAACGAGATTGGCGAAGGAGGGGGTTAAAAGAAGCGATATGGGAAATGGTGGAGGACCCAACCCTGAACAGAAAGGGGGGGCTCCGGTTCTCTCTGTCTCACACTTGGGACCGGGCCCTCGTCTACGTTCTCCGACATTTGTCACATGATAGTGATCTACCATTTGACTAAGTAAGCTGATGAAGACTGATGGTTTCAGTCGAAACGTCTGTTAATAATTAAGACCAAAATTCCAGAAAAAGATTTAAAAATTCCTCAAAATTTCCTAAACTTTGCAAACTAGTATTAAACTCGGTCACGCTAATATCACGTGCATACCAATCCAAGAGAGAGGGGCAGAAAAGGAAAGGAAAGTTCTGATTTGTTTTCGTCCAGTATCAGAGCACTTTCTGTAAAGGTTACTGTTCTTTGGAATATTTGAAGACCTTTTCTAGAAAGAATAACATGTAATTTCGGAAATGCGATCAGGAGGTACTATCTAAAATATATCTTTCATGGCTGTCGTTGTCACAGGACCCTGATGACGATGAAGAAGCTATTTTCGAAATCAAAGCGGCTACAACAAAGGAGACTTCTGGATTAACATCTGGAAGTCGCTGAACTTCTCCACTGAACATGCGAAAAGGAGCACGCAAGTAAAAGCTGGTTTCGAGGCATTGATTAAATAACAATTCAACAATGCTACTTCGGAGCAACAAGATTGCTGATTGGAGGAACAAACTGGAACGTTTGCAGACTCATTTCGTTCGTGGTTTCATTATCAGACACTCAGAGAAAACAGTTAATGTTAGTAACGCTTCTTGGCCAAAACACCCGGTTGACTTGCTGTATCTCTCTTGTGGAACATACACAAAGGAGAGATTTCCCATTGCAAGACCCTTTGATATCGTGTGGAAAAATTTAACAGGTTACTGTGCAATATATCGACCCCATATTACTGTCAGAAAAAGCAAAACAGTAAAACGCAATAGTCACAATCCACATGGAGTCTAATTAATGCTCAATAAGATACTCGAGTCTTAAAAAAATAACAAATATTGGAACTAGAGAGTACTGGTTAATTAAAGGAAACTACACAAACAATAAAAACTAAGTTGAATATATAAGTCAAACTTTAAAAAACATTCAGCCACATTCTACGGTATGCATGACATTTTCCTACCTTGATACCTAAATAAATGTTTTGTAAAGGTAAACGTAGTCTGACCAGGGTTAACTTCACAAACTCTTCCATTCTAACTTAATTGTTCAAACTGAAACATCTACGATTTGAAGTGTGTGAACCGAAGTTAAGGGCGTGATCTTTGGCAGGCAGATGAACCAGCTGTGACACTAAATACAATTCTCAAAGAATTTACAGTTTTGTGTTCTCTGAACAAGAATGCACTGTAACGGTTTGGTTATTTTTATAAGTATCGGGGCTGTTGATTGACGCTGCTTCTTCAGCTGGACACTGGAGAACTTGAACATCAAACGATGGTTGGCAAGGTTGATCTTCAACATCCTGTGAAGCTAAAGAAAAAAGATAGGCAAAAGGAGAAATTTTCCTTCGAATTCCGTGCAGCTACAACCACCTCAAAACTGACTTGCCATCGAAATAAGAATTGGGAAATATTTTCTCGCTCACAACCCAGTTAGACCCAAACCGAGCTTGAATATTTAAAGCAAATATATGATAACCGCTTTCATGGCGAGGCAAATACATGTCTACAGTCCTGTGTCTATCAATAAGATGACATGTACTAGTGCGGCAAGAACAGGAATACTTCAAACCATATTTGCTGAGAGAAAATTTAAAAAAAAGTTTGCCATCGTTCTCCATGTTACCATTGTCATGAAACTCTTTCAGCCCAATGATATCCTTACCTTTTGTTTTGTGGACAAACTTTGACGGTTGGAAAAACAAAACCACTAGGGATCCCACCAGAGCTAAAATTCCGGCCGTCAATGCAAACACAAGTCGCACATAGTTGGTAACTGCATCCTTTGAGCTGGTTCTAAACCGAGAGTAGGTAAAAAAAATATTACAAATTATTCACCATTTGACGTTTTCATTCTATTTTAAAATTCTGCAAAAATACCACGCTAAGCTGTTAAAAAGGCAACGTCACAATAAGAGTTTTGCTAACCCTTCGTTTGGGTAAAATTCCTGTATACCGAGCAAAATTAAACCGTTTGAAACTCTTGTGATCACATCGATAATGGCAAACACTGATCCACTGTTTTCCTGAAAGGAAATTGCTCCATCAAGTTATTGAACTCACAGAGGAAATCATAACTGCGAACATTGGAGCAAATCTCAGATCAATTTCAATAGCAATCCGCTTTATGATGACAGGGCTGAATAACGAAATTTACGTCAGAGGGTATGCGGTCAACAACGCGGGCTCAAGCGTGCGAAGTCTAAAATTTAACGAAATGTGCAGAAAATAAGAAGGGCTGACATTTAAAACCGAGCCATTTTGTTGTCGTAAAAGGCATTTTCCTATTTCCAGAGTTTTTAAGGGGAAATTAATTTTCGAAAATTTCAGTTTAGGGAGTGTACAAAGATTTTGGAGTTTACAAATACTATAGTTGTAGTCAGGTATGATAATAAATAAAAAGTTTTTGTTGTCACTGACTAAAAAACTTTGTGTGAGGACGTTTCGGTTAAAATACTATAACCTTCTTCAGCAATAAAATGGCTACGAAAGCAAATGAGTGCTTTAAAAAGAGCCGCAGAAACGTCACTTGGGATTGCCAAGGGCCTTGTAAATGTCAGGAATGTAAATGTGTTCATTAATGGCATTCGGTTCACAATTTGAATGCCACACTTCTAAAAATAATCTTTTCGACCGTTGGGAACAGCGGTCAATGATCTTGACGTCCTCAAGGTCAAAATCATGATTGTATTTTATACAATGTTGGGTTAATAAAGAATTTCTATCTCCCGTGAAAATCGCTCTCTTGTGTTCTCTAATCCTAGATCTTAAGGCTCTTGATGTTTGACCGATATAAACTTTGGAGGTTGTTCTGTAAAAGAAAAGCGGCAAGGAAAACGACGCCTCGAAGCAACAGGATAGGAAATCAACCATGCGAACGACTCAAAATCAGTTTTTCGCGGCAAAATTTGGCGCATGCACATATGTTATTCAGCTCTGTCCTGTATGATTGATTTCGACGGCTCTTGCCATAAAAACTGAAACCGATTGCAACTTGGTCAACATTTTCCCCGCTAAAGGCAGTCTGCCTTTTTTAAATTTAGTTCTGGTATATACACTATTGTGATCACTTTCTTTTTTACTCTGCGTCATTCCATCAAATTGCGCTCCTACGACAAATTCCAAAATTGTAACTCATTGATCTGCTGGTTGGGTTACATGTTACGAGGAAACTGTTATTGTATCGACCACCTCCTTAGCGAATTTAATCGTTCTAAAAGAAATCGAAATTTGTCTCATAAATCTCACCTTATTTTCCCCGATCAGCTCCATAATGAAGACGAGTGCCATGACATGCATAATAGACATACCACTTCCTATTATGACCACTGGTGCATAAAATGACTGTCTAGTGGAGACGGTTTGAAAATAACTCCAAACAGCACCACCCATCACTAATAAACCTGCCAGAAGGTAACTCCACTAGATGTGAAAATTAAGCAATGTGTGAGGATTAGTAGGACTCATTTAACAAAACAAGGTTCTTGTTGGTTCTGCGACAAGAAAGGGAAAAAGGAAAGAAATAATGTTCGTCACAAGCGTCCTGCAAACTGTTTGGAGCAACAATGTGAACTGAAAACTATCTTGTTCGCAAATAGGATAAGACGGTTGGCTAATTTTGAACTCGCTAGTCTAGTTGACGTTAGCAAAGTTATAAAAGGATCCCTGGAATCATTGCTCCTTGTAAAGAAAAAATCATTCACGGACGAATATGTCCTTGGCAACTTTTGAACGGTCAAAGAGTTTCAGACATCACAAAGAAACTAAAATACGCTTCTGCTCCAGCTAGATAAAGCTGTTTGTCTACGATTTAAAATTACAGCCTTACCTTACTCCCAATTTTATTGTTTAGTTTGTTACTGGCTGAACTTGCTAAAGAGGCACAGATCAAGAGTATGAGTGGAAAATAGGCGGTAGATTCCTAATCCAAAACAACAATAAAAATGTTATAATGTAAATGATATTGAAAACAAGGTGACCGAAATGAAAGGCGACTCATACCTTAGGAAGTAGCAATGTTTCGGTAAGGAAAAGCGGTAAATAAGTGTTCGTAAGGTCCAGTGCATGGCGTGAACATGCGAAGATAATGGCCACCTGAAAATGAAAAGATGAAGTAGAAGGAGAAAAAATAAAAAAAATTATATAATGAAATCCAGAAAACAAGAATAGTTGGAAAAGCAAATGTTCACCTTATACAATCCTGGATCCCTCAGCCACTCTTTGATTCCTTTTGGTTGTTTTCTCTCAGGTCCTCGTTCTCCATTTGTCAATGGAACAGGGACACCAAGTAGTTCGGGGTTGTCTCCTCCAGCTGAAGATTCGTTTCTACTCTCATAAGTTTCTATTCCTACATCCTCTCTGCAATCTTCTTTAGGATAATTCTGAGTACATTCCTCCAGACTCGTTTTCTTCTTAGGCGTGTAATCAAGATTTAAACTCTGTCGTTCTATCTCGTCCATTGACAGCTTTCCGGAAAATTCAGAAGAAGAGAAATGCACAGACTTTCTTCGCTTCCCTTCTAGTTTACTGCTGACGCTTCTTTTCCTATCACTATCACTTTCATCACCTTCAAATCCAGAGTTAGAGAGACCACATTTACTACCAACCGGAAAATGCGCTATTCCACGTTTTCTTTGGTTGCGTTTGGTCCGAAATGATGTTTCTGGGATGCTTTCATTCTGATCTTCTCTGTCATTTCCTAATTCCTCCATACAGTCCTGTTTCGGAAAGTTCTGAGTACTGTCATCAACACTGGTTTCATTCTGGTCTTCTCTGTAAATTCCTTCCTCCTCGTTTCCATTCTTATCTTTAGCGGAACTCACGTTGTTGGTCAGTTCCCACTCGCTCTCGTCAGGAGCGCTTTCGATCTCTTCTTCTCCAGCCTTCCAGAAATTTTCGCCAGTTACACACTCGTCGTATTCACCGTCCTTTGCAATTTGATCTCCAATACCATTAATACACGTGAGCTGCACTTGCTCTTCCTGTTGTAATCTAAACACTAGTCCATCAACAACACGCATTAAGAGACTCCTCTTTCGTTCAGGATCTAGATGCTGTACTTCTAAAAACACTGGTGTTTGTGCATCCTCACTTTTTGGATTCTTAGTGGTTTCCTCAGTAGCAGACTGTAACTGATCCTGATTTTGACTATTGTTGTCAGTTTCCCCGTCATAGAATAGAGCATCAACAAACTTCTGCAATAGACTTCGTTTTCTTCTTTGCCCTTCATGACCCCTACTTTCTTCACATCCACTCATCTCACTTTGCTTTTCTTCATATTCAGTTGTAGCCAAAATCATGTCAACAAAATTATAAGCGATGCTCCTTCTTCTAGTGTCTAAACAATAAAAAAAGAAAATCAATCATTGAGCTTTGAAATGTTTGGCATCGTAGTTTAAAGGTAGAATTATAGATTCTAACGATTACAACTGATATGAGAACACAAGAAAATTCTTCAAATTTTCGTTACATGGAGGATCCATACAACCTACATGATTAATTCCCTCAAAATGAGGGTTCCATAACATATATGAATGGCTTAGTTAAAAAGGAACAGGACACAAAACCAAGTCTATGAGAAGAGGAAAAGTGGTGTTTTCCTTTGAATAATGCTTTGTTACATCATTTTGATACTGGAGGGACGATAAATCTGCCATTCTACGAGAAGTGCAAAAGCATGCAACGCTATCTGAACCGCGCAATTCATAGACTTACCGGCATTTTGCGACCCAAACGCATTCAGGAATATGCCAGGAGCATTCTACAAATTAAGAGAAAGAGGACAGCATAGAATAGATTTTGCAACACATATGTAGATCGTGTCTTCTACTGCTGCCGACCGTAGGACATGTTTACATGTAACTATAAAAGGGCTTGTTACTCTCAACATTTATGATGCTATGGCAGTCTGAAAGCTCGGAAAAGATGTTGTAGTAAACATACACGTGGAAAAGACATAATCATATGACCAGATAGTCTTTTAGAATTGAACTTCGTGTATCTAATTTAGTTGAAGAACTAAGGGACAGTCATAAAAGAGCCTTAATTAGCCATTAGAAGTTACCTGGATTAACGACGCAAAAAAAAAAAGAGTTTACACGTGTAGCACTTCAACAAAAACTACGATTTTAAGATATCGTTTCTTCTTACCATAAGACTGTTTATGGTGCTCTTTCTTCTTACGCGTGTTTTAGGTTCCCTTACACCAATGTGAAAAATGGCTGCAAGGAAGACACCTGTTCCACTAAGAATGCACGCAAGATACTGTAAAAGAAAGAACCAATCAAGAGGCAACTTACATGAAGGTGACTGATATTCCGATGGAAGCGAAAAACTGAGATAAAAGAAGCTAATACAGCAGTGGAAAGAGCAAACAAGCAGCTCAGGGAGTGGATGAAATTCTTCCTTACACAATGTGAAGACTGCTAATAGTTTTCTTTTGCATTTACCTTACGCGTACGGCAAGTTGAGTATATCATGGGTCTAAAACGAGTATGGCTGCTGTTACTAACCAGAAACTCTGGAAGGCTGTGAGGTCCTAAATCATCGCTTTTGTCTTGTCCCAGAAGACCCCAGGCGACTATGTAAATGAAAATGCCACTTATGAAGCTGAACATTGTCCTTGTAATCAGAGAAAAGACATGAATATGAGAAATCGTTCTTTGATGCCACCTACATTATTCTGGAAAAATAGATTAAATGTGGGACATAAGGCCTCTCATTAGTCATGCTTACATTATATTACGTGAAAGTAAACATCAAGTTCCACTCATTTGTACCATGAGCGAATTTCCCAACCAAGCTTACTTTATAACTCCTATAATTAACATGATATTTTGAGGATGATTCGCATGCATGAGTTATAAATTCAACTGCATTATATCCTCCAAAGAAACCAAAATCAGCTATCAGGAGAAGAGCATACGCGAGAAGGGGAAGAGGGATATTTATAAAGCAACCCGAAAGACATCTATGAGAGCCACATAAAGTATGAGTTTCAAACACAGTTGCTCAGAGCAAACCTCATTGTGCTTATAGCTGTATATTCCTCAACAGAGTCGGTTACAGTGGCGATGAAAGACGAGTGATTTACTTCCATAATGTTGACAAATATGCCATAAATAGTATTCAAGAAGCCGAAATAGACGATTGGAAGCCAGCTATGATGATTACCAATACACGGATAACAGCGGTTGGCGTTAAGAGGAACGACTACGGCCAACAAAACTGTCGCCAAAAGGTGCCAAGATTTTCGCCCGCCAAGTTTCTTTGAAAGAAAAGGTATCTCAACCTTATCAGCAAGGTAGCCAGAAATTGATGCGAAAAACGCGGTAATTAACTGTGCAATGAGAAATATAATTCCAACATCCGTAGCTGAAAGTTCCAATACTTCCATAAAAAACAGGAGAGCGAATGAAGCATTATGCTGACGGCAGAGCTCCGTGAATATATTTCCTACAGCGCAAAATATTCGTTCTCTTCTTCGCATCTTAACGTGTAACGAGCTTTGAACGATCCAACCGAAAACGGTGCGGTTTGTTTGGTTTCGGATTTACTCACGGTTTTATTTCGAATCTTGTACCAAATGACATGACCTTAAAAGCAAATTCTTGCGTAATTGTCCTCTCGGAACGTCTAAGGACAATAAAATTGTAAAAAAAAAAAAAAAAATATGGAAACTTACACTCAACCTTGCACTTATTGGGCAACAATGGTGTGAAAACATACCCGCCGGCAATTGATGTCCACTTTGCAGATCATTCATGTAAGTTTATCATGTATTGACCTGAAATTACACCCGGAAATTTGCCGCTAAAAGTTGAAACTTCAAACTTAAATGTGGTTCGTTTGCACTGAAATTGGTGTCGATCCCTCCTTTAGAAGCTTTTCGAAAACTTTTGATCAAAGCAGGAGATGAAGTTAATCTAAAAGATTAACAGAACATAGTTGCGAATTGGCTTTTAGATTGACGGTTAGAAAGTTCATTCGTATTTTTTGCAGTTATTTGTATACAAAATGGATACGTTAAAAATCCGTTTTCTGACAAATTGTTTCTTCAATGACCACAACAATTTTGCCGAGGAGTGAAATTCGGATTTTGTATTACTAATTTGCCTAATAACCGACATGATCAAGGGGGTATAAAGGAAGGAATATCATTCAAAATAAACTGTGCTGCGCATGTACAGTAGATTACAGTGATTGATCCAATGTTGTCTGAACCCCAGGTGTTTTTGATATCAACCTGAAAAGTCTGGCTCATATATATGTACTGGCGGAGAAATTCTGACAAGGCACTGGAATTGAGCGTGAATGTTGTCGACACATCTCACACTGTAGAAAGAAAATGGTTTATAATAAATAATGTAGAGTCAAGTGTTTTGACCGTTTTTTTTTTCATCAAGATTATCAATTTATATTCATATCACGTTCACTGAAAGAGGTTTGAGGCCTGCACAAGTACAATCACACTTAACTTGACGTTTTGACTGTATAATGAAGCGCGACAAGCTGCAGCGGATAAATCGAAAGTTTCTTGAAATTAGTGACTTAGAGTATCATTATTCTAATATGTTTCCATGATAAATCAGAACAGATCAATCGATCGAGCTGTGGGTACAGTCTGAAAAGTCGAAAGGAGAACACCCAGTAAACTGTTTTTAGGAACTCTTACACATTTCTCCGCAATCAAGTCAGATACTATTCAATACTCTTTGAAAACATCTAGTCCTCGTTTAATATACCCTCCAGCAATTGGTACCTACTCTCTAGATCATTCCTTTGTGATAATTAAAAGCATGCTTTAGTTTTGAAAATCCGCACGCTTCTCCGAAATTGCACTGATTGAAGCTGACGGTAAAGTAAGTCAATATTCTGTAAAGATATTTTTGTTCAATCAGCAACCGTCGGTAATGGCCGTTTTCTCTTAACACCGAACGTTGCTTACTGACCTTCTGTAGTTAAAACGTTCTCATAGTTGATTTGAAGATGTTAAAAAAAATATCTAACGAATGAGCCAAGCAGACTCTTGGATCTGGACAGGCTTTGAATCCATTTATTTCACTCTTACTGGAAGCTTTATTAAAGACAATTTACAAGCCAGCTCCTGAACAGTCTCGAAATCAAAGCATAATAAATGCACGTTTAAATTAATTGGTCTGTTGGCCACGTTGTGGTTGAAAATTTTTTAACACGTAGTAAAATCTACATATCGAAAAACGATTATTTTCGGCCTGACTAGAAAATTAAATGATTTAACGTGAATTTTAGCACACTAATTATATATCGTGTATATCATTCGAGGGAAAGAAGCGGAAAAAGACAGGGAAATGCAGATGTTTTCTTTCCGGTATCAGAGCACTTTCCATACGGATTGCTGCACTGTGAAATGTTTGAAGGAATTTTCCAGAAAGAACAACATCACTTCGGTATTAGAGCAGTTTCCATACGGATAACTGTACTTGAAAGTGTTTGAAGGCCTTTTCCGGAAAGAAAGAATGCCATTTAGACTTTTGTAGATTCATTTAGTACATTTTTTTTTATTATCAGACGCTTTGAGGAGATACCATAAACTAAAGTTTCTTAAGCACGGCAACCGCTTGGATTACTGAATCTTTCCTGTAGGACAAATACTAAAAATTGATCTCTTATTTCCAGACCCCGATTTTAGAATTCTATAAAGAAGTTCAACAGATTATTGTGCGAAGCACCGATTCTCTTCGCCATTCGCGTTCCACAGTGCATCAATTTTAAAAGTTGAAAAGTCCCCCAATTGTAAAGCAGGAGTCTAGCGTATACATAGTTTTCATAAGTTTTCCCAAGTCTTCATTATTTGAAAGCACTCTCCTTCAATACTTGAAAGAGTAGCAATACAATACACGTTACGACAGAATAGTCCAAGTCCACGTAGAGCCTACGAACTAGTACTTGTTATAAGTACTTGCTACCTTACCTCGATACATTAAGAGGAGAGAAAACAAACAAAATTGAAATCAGAAAGTACTGCGTAAATAAGGACGCCATACAAAAAACTAAGATCAATCTAGACGCCAAACGTTCAAAAAACTTTCTTCGAAATCTTTTAATATTCCCCTACTCAAGGTAGGGGAATATAAATTCACTTAAATAAATTCCACACGCATTTTTCCCGGCCTCAGGCAGTTTTCTTGTTTTACGTTGAATTCTCGTTGGTTCTAGTAACACTCTCCTTTCCTTTGATTGGCCGTTGTGGTCCCTTTGTTGTGCTTTTGCGAAATTCAATGAAAATGCCAATTTATTTCAACTTCTTAAACGATTACTTATTGATCAGCTGGTTGGATGACTGGTTTTAAGTACATTGCAAGGAGTTGACTACCGTTTGTGATTTCAATCGTATTGTTATAAATCGAAATGTGTTTTAAACACTTACCCTATTTTCCCCGATGAGCTCTGTAATGAAGACAAGTACCATGACGTGCATAACGGATAGACCACTTTCTACTGGTGCATAAGTTGACTGTCTGATGGAGATGGTTTGAAAATAGCTCCAAATAGTACCACCCATCGCCAACAAACCTGTCACTGAGAGGGTAGCCCCACTAGGAGTGCAAATTAATGAATGAAGGTTAGTAGGACTCATTCGACAAAAGTGTTGTCCATGGTTCTGTAACAAGCCAAGGACAAGGACAACATCTGAATACTCCACGACTAATCGAACTCCTGACCATCGGACCCCGCCGAGTTACACCGAGATTTCACGAAGGCGAGAAATGTTATTACTCGGTTCAGATGTAAGAGGCGTCATAGAAAAATGCCTGATAATGGTAATAGGACTTAGAAAGTAGACTCCAATTCGGTCTGTAATCATACGAGTGATTACAAAATCGAGCGACCGATTTGTTCATCACCAGTATGATTACAGACCGAATTGGACGAAACGAAATCTTATTACCAATTTATCATAAAAACTACAATTTCCGAGAAAAAAAAGAACAGCCAAGTTATGAAAGAGAGGGGAAATTTGCATTCCAAGACTGGAAAAGGAGGTGTAAGTCGTTTAATGTTGTGATTGGTTGATTTAAACTTTAACTTTGAAGGTGATTGGTTGAATTGAACTACAACTTTGAATATGATTGGACTGTCCAAAAATTAAGACACCGCTGTGTGATAACAACCTGGGAAGTAAATTAAAGGAAAATAGGAATCTTTTCAAACAATTACAATGAAGGAAATTGTAATTTTCATGATTATATCAGTAATTTCTGGACTATCGTGTTTGTATGGCAAAAATTAAACCCCCTAGCCAAGTTGACGTTTACAACGCCATAAAAATAACCATTGATTAATTGCTCGTTGGTGAAAAAAAAAAACCCGACTTTTGCACAGTCAAGGCATTTCAGACATCACAAAAGTAAACTAAGATACGCTTCTGACCTGTCATACAAAAAACCGCTGGTCTACGATTTAGAATTACAGTCTCATCTTACTACCAATTCTCTTGTTTACTATGTTACAGGTTGAACTCGCTAAAGAGCCACTGATCAAGAGTATGAGTGGAAATCAGGCAATAGATTCCTTATCCAGGACAACAAAAAAATTAATCATTACTTTATGAGTTTGAAATAAAATTTGAAAATCAGTTTGAAGACCAAAGCAAAGGAAATTAAAGGCGTTTCACACCTTAGGAAATAGCATTGTTTCTGTGAGTATTAGCGGTAAGCAGCTGGTCATGAAATCCTGTACATGGCGTGAACATTTAATGATAATGGCCACCTAGCAGATGAAGCAGAAGGTAAAAAAATAAAAAATACTTCAATTAAATTCAACAAAAAAGAATAAGGTTTACCTTATACAAGCCTGGATCTCTCAAACAGTCATTGATTCCTTTTGGACGTTTACTCTCAGAGTTACGAGTTTTCAGTGGAACAGGAAGACCAAGCATTTCGGGTGATCTTCAGCAGCTCATGAATCATTTCTAATCTCATAAGTTTCTATTCTTTTATTCTCTATGCAAGCTTGTTTAAGATAATTCTGAGTGCTTTCATCGAGATTCACTTTCTTCTCAGGCGTGTGATCGACATTTAATCATGGTCGCTCAGTCTCGTTCATTGACGGCTTTTCAGGAAATTCAAGAGGAAGGAAAGTCACAGACTTTTTTGTTTCACTACTGATGTACTGCTAAGGCTATTTTTTCTATCACCATCACTTTCATCGTCTTCAAATCCAGAGTTAGAGAGATCAAATTTAACATTATCCGGCGAAAGCACCAATCCAAGTTTTCTTTGGTTACGTTTGGTCCATAATGTTTCTAGGATGTCTTTATTCTGGTCTTCGCCGTCAACTCTTACCCCCTCGTTTACATTTTTACCTTCAGTGGAAGCCACGTTGTTCGTCAGTTTCCACCTGACTTCGTCTGGCGCGTTTTTGACCTCTTCCCATTCATCCTCGTCTTTACCGTCTTTAGCAATTTGATCTCCAGTACTATTAATGCACGTGAATTGCACTTGCTCTTCCTGCTGTAATCCAAATGCTAGTCCATCAAAATACGCATTAGTAGACTCCTCTTTTGTTCAGAATCTAGATGCTGTAGTTCTAAAACCAATCTTGTTTGTGAATCCTTCCATTCTGAATCCTAAG